GTCCCCAAAAAGGAATAAAAGTTGGCCCCACTGCTGTTTGCATTGCCCTCAAATGGAAGGAAAATCCACCCCGTTGGGTTGGCTGTTCCCATTTGTCCCCAAAAAAGGATGATCCCATTCATGTTTGCGTTGCCCTTTCCCATTTGCTTCACCCCACACACGGAGGATGCCTCAACCGCTCGTATTTCCCACTTCACCCCCAGGGGATGTCCCCAGGGAAGACACATCCCCACTTCTTTCACCCCCAGCTTACGGCAGAAGGATGGTTTCCTCCAAGCCTCAATGTTGACACCGGCAGCTTGGCAAGAGGACGCGTAGCTCTGGATGCTCCGACACAGGACGTTGGTTTTCCCTTTGGTAAGGCAGAGGTCTCGGGTGCAGGCATCCAAATACAAGGCTGGGTTGAGGATGCTGAAGCAGGAAGAGAAGGGGCCGTTGGGATCCGTGAGGATGCCACAGTAGTTGGGTTTTTGGAAGATCTTCTTCTTTTCTTCCGTGCAAACGGGGCAGTCGTCTTCGGAACATTTCTCCTGGCATGCCACGTTGGGTATTTTCCACGCAGAACCAAAAGAGGTGGCATTGGGAGCCGGGTGGCCATCAGGGAAGAGGAAATCATCCTCTCTTTTGTCGTTGTTGTTGCCACAGAGCCCACACAGGTGGCCCTCGTAGCCCTGTGGGGCTGTGACCGTGATGTAGTGGTAGAGGTCATAGCGTACAATGAGGCCAAAATCGGTCTGAAGGTGAATGCCCACCCCGTGTGGGTGCACCTGGACCTTCCCTTGGTTCAGGATGGCTGGGAGGCGGTGGGAGATGGAGTTCACCTGGGATAGAGGGAGAGAAATCTACGGTCAGCCTTAGGGAATGGAGGTGGGAGAGGAAAATGTTGGAGGAGACACCTTCCGTCCAAGGTTTTGATGAAGTGGGAGGGGAAATTCGGGTTAACATGGCACTTTCTTGGAGTTATGAGCTAAAGATGTTGGGAGAGACGCTTCCCAACCAAGATTTTGATGGATGAATGGGCTCCCAGTTTGCAGGTGGAGGAGGAAATGGGTGAGAACGTGGCTCTCTTGGAGATATACGCAAAAAATGTTGAAGGAGACACCTTCCAACCACAGTTTTGGTGAATTGAGGGCTCCCAGTTTGTAATGGAGGGGGAAATTCGGGTTAACATGGCACTTCCTTGGAGTTATGAGCTAAAGATGTTGGGAGAGACGCTTCCCAACCAAGACTCTGATGAATAAATGGCTCCCAGTTTGCAACTGGAGGAGGAAATGGGGGAGAACGTGGCTTTCTCTTGCAGGGGAATGCAAAAAATGTTGAAGGAAACACCTCCCAACCACATTTTTGGCCAACTGAAGGCTCCCACTTTGCAGGTAGAAGGGGAAATAGGGATAAAAAAGGATTTGCCTCGGAGATATATGCAAAAAATGTTGGGAGAGACACCTTCCAACCAAATTTTTTTGTTGGATGGATGGCTCCCAGTCTGCAACTGGAGAGGAAATGGGAACGAACACGGCTTTGTCTTGTAAATAGGAGTGAGGTCTTTGCTCCATCAATTAGAACCACAGTTTTTAGATCACGTTTGCACCCAAAAAGAGGTGAATCCCCCCATCTGGCTCTAGAGGGGACCATTCTCCTTCGTGCCAAAGTCAAGATGATCCCAAAATCTATGACCCCATAGACTTTGACATCAACCAGAAAAAGGTTGAACACGAAGCACAGCCGTATGGGGACGTGCCCCCTCTTCCCTGATGACAAAGCTGAGGTTGTGTCACCAATTTT